GTAAACCAGAACCAGCACCTAATTCGATTATACGTCTACAAAAAAAAAATAAGACTAATAGAAATCATCAAATAATAGATTTTATAATGAATACTTATTTTCTAGAATATGTATTCTTTTCATTAGATAATCACCAAGATATATTGATGCAGGCCAATTTGAAAGACCAGTAAGTCCATGACTAAGTAATGCTGTACTTTGTCGATGAATAACACATTGATTATTACTCTAATTTTTTTTTATACAGTAATAGAAGATGATTTACATTTGAATATAAAATCTTACGTACAAGAATGTATATTGTATGACACCAATCTTGTTCAGATGAGTCTCGACTTGCCAAGTCAACTATTAATTCATACCATCGACTATTTACTTCAGTATTATTATGTTTCTCAAGCTAAATTTATAAGAAAAAACAAAATCTCATATTTACATAACTCGACATGCATCGAATTTAAATACTAGCTTGGTATTCAGGTTCGGAAACTACCCCAACCAGTTCAGACAATGTCGAACACTTTGGTAATTGTCTAAGTGTTTCTTCAGATAACAGGTGACACAGGACAAAATGTTTTCTTATTTTAAGAACACTTCGTCAGACATAAGAGACTTCGTTTCATTTTAAAGAATTATAATCTTGTTGACTTTTTATAATATACTTGCAGATCTTCAATCTTTTAGCCCATAGTGTATAGATCTACCATAGTCAAACTTAGAATCTTTTCTTTAGGAATATTTCTAATTTCTTTTATTAATTAACTGAAAGTGATTGTAATCCAGAGAGAAGGTGAATGTTCGAGTTCGATGCATACGTAGATATTATCAAACGATCTTACCCATTCAATAATTGTCTTAATAAATGTTTGTCGATATTTAACACGAAGAGACCAACAAGCAAATAATGGATTATCGAATGTTTGATTAAGTAAATAATTTTGAAATTCTTCTATATTATTGTTAAATTCTAAATACCATTTCTATTGAAAAAATAAATATTCTTGTTGAATATAACTCTTTATCAACTAACTTCGAGTATATCAGATGTT